TTGGATGTATAAATGCTCTTCCAAGATATTTGCTGAAAGGATACTTTGTCAGTGGCATTTAAGGCTACGTTGTTGGGAGTACCTTTCGACCACCTTAAACACACTTAGATGCTCTTAAGAAAACTGATCACCAGAGGTTGGCATCAGCCCCCCCCACCCAGATTGGTCCCCAAAGATTCATCCCACGTTCCATGGGCCTTTGAGGGGGGGGGGGCGGGTGCCTTGCTCTCGTGGAACATCAGGTGTGTGTGAGTGCTTTCTGCTTGGCCTTAACTCCCTAGTTCTTGCAAGTAGGAAGAAATGTAACAATGAATTCGTAGCTTTGCCAAACTTTCACAGTTGGTTCCTGAACACATGTCGGACTTCAACACAAGTCATCCGAGCCAAGGCACAAGTCGGCTGCATCGTGCGACCCAGCCAGCGTAGTCACACCAAGAATGAGCACCAGGCCCATGCCCTCGATCAAATCAAACCTGCACTTGTCGCCAAAAAAATGCATACATTCACAAGCAGAACGTACGTCTTCAGGGAGCACCCTTGATTTCCCAACCAGCTTGAAACGGAGCTATTCATGCCCCCTTCGCTAGAGCTTCCCAGAACTGGGAGGGATCGAGTTGGGCTTCCACGAGCCCAAACACCCAAACGGGTGGCCACACGTGGCCACCAAAAACAGGCACCCAGATTGCTTCCGGGTCGCAAGGACATAAAGCCCTCTGAAATGAGCTCCGGCACGTCGCGGGTGATCGCCATGGTGAGGTCCGCCACGGACACGGCATGGCGCGAGGTCTCGTTGTAGTTCAGGTACTTCCGAAGCAAGTTCTCCTGTGCAGGGCCTTATCAACCCCTGTCTTAGGAAACCTGCACTTTCGACCCATACGCGCTTCCAATTCAGCCTGAAAGGGCTGCCATGACCCTGTACGCATCATGGGGGCAGTGCAAGCCCGACATCAAGACCCGAAACCGCTGCCATACACCATATGTAGCATGAGTCCAAAAGGGAGGTACTATTGCAATGCTGGTTTGATTGCTGGCCACAAAGAGTTATGAGAACCCCTGATCGGCATGTCTAGTCGTCCGTTCCCGCTACTAAGAAATGTACCCTAGTAAAAAATAGCTCTTTCCCAGACGCCAAATCTCCCAATGCCAAGTTAGATTTAGCCAATATGAAACTAATTCCAAACTCGTGAATTTCCCACCGACCCCATTTGGGGACGTTTAGAACCAATACTAAACCGATCGATACTAAACCTATTTGACACCCAGTCGAAACCAGCTCAGATCCAAAAACTGGCTTAGATTTCTGCAGGTTGAATTCCTTACTCAGAAGTGACCATTTTGAACCATATTGGGCCGGAAAAGGGGGACACCCCATTTGGATGAAGACCGTAGCGGAAGCGCTTGGCACAGAAATAGACCACTTTCATATATATTATTCGGCCCCCCAACGAATCTTGAGGGGAAGAGATGTGGAAGGCGCCATCCCCAAGACTGACATCTCCAGACTACACCCAAACTACCTGCCCAGCCAACGGGATCATGCATCCTGGTTCTCATTACGCTAAAGCCGGTTCTCCTGCAGCTGGTTCACCGCCATGCCCAAAATCTTCCTCTGCGCCTTCAGACGGTACAAAAAGATGATGAAACCGTGAGGCAGCAAGAACAGCACCACCAGCAGAATGGCCCGGCCAGTCCTGTCAGCACGTTCTGAACCCTTCCCATTCAATCCAGGCTGTGCCTCTCTGCAAAAGAAATTCTGAAAAAGGAGCCGTCTGCCAAAACCGCAGCACTCAAACATTGCAAGTCTGCTGGGTGAGAACAATACGAAAGATCTGGGGACGACCTGCACTGTTTGCGCATGTTGTTGCACTAAACTCCTGGAAGTTGGTAAGGCGCCACTGTACCACGAGTCATCCTGGGGGGTTGGGGCCAGCACGCTGTCAACAAGGACTCGGTTCAGGAAGATGTGCCAAACGAAGCTCACGTTCGCATATTGATCCGTCAGGCAGTTCCAGAACGCAGCTCGCCGCAAGGCACGGTCACTGAAAGCCATCTTGAAGTATTCCAACCTCAGCTCGCAGGTTGCCAAATTGCTCTTAGAATTGAATGAAGGTTACCCGTTCACGGGGTCAGAGATTCCACCGGAATAATCATGATCAAACGTCCAACGATATGGGCAGCCGAGAGTCATCAACGCGCCCCCGTTGATTCGGGACATTTGACCCTGCGACAGGAAAGTATGGAAGCGATTGGTGGGAAACGTGTCATCGTCCGCAATGAGTATGCGGCAGGTGTCCTCCGTGCCCAAAACTGCGCCCTTGGCGTCGTAAAGACGCATGCTGAATTCCAGGGTGGCCTCGAAGGCATTGTTGCAAATAAGCCTCAGCTCGGCGCAAACTGAATCAGAAAGGCCCCTACATAAGCCCTTGGAACACGAGCAGGGACAAACCAGAAACAGGAACCTTGGAAGGGATACTCTGAAGCAAACAAACCAAACGCAAAAACGGCCTGCAGGCCAGAAGCCAATCAGCCACCTGACCCTAATGACAGCCCCTGCAAACACAATCGATCCGACCCAGCCCGGCAAAAACAACCCGCGGAACGAGAGTTGCTTGCAAGAGTAGCTCGACGGAGATATTCTTCATGAACTGCCCGGGCTCAAAGGTCATTGTGCCACAGGCTCTATGGTATTTAACTCCAGCAGCTGCGGAGATATCACTGGTCTCATAGCAAACGGAGCACGTATTGTCCTCCTCACCCAGGCGTACCACGGAGACCTCCACCTTTCAGCACGCAAGGCCTCTGTGTGCTCGGCCTTTATCTCGCTGAGCCACCCCCGCCACCAGGAAAAACCAGCAAACAACATGTCGCGTACGGAATAGCAAACCCCCGCCAATGCTGCGCTAGTGGCCTGTTAGCCCCGGAGGTCCCACCAGCCAATGCAAATCACTGAGTCGGAGCTAAGTTGTCAAATGCCCCAGCCCCACTTGCTCAGGTTGCTTGGAAGAAGAAGTTGCATGATTCTCTTTTGCGGGGGAGCCCGCCAAACGAAAAGGGAAGCAAGTGCTCGTGAACAACATTGTTGAAAAAAGACATGTCAAGTGCACTTGTTGGCATGTGTTGGTCCTGGACCTGTTCGCACTAGCGCCCGTTTTGTTCCTACCTCGAGCAAAGTGCACTTCAAGTCCACTTGTTGGCATGCGTCAATGCGTCGGTCCTTCAAGCTGCCTACACTAACTAGCTTTTGGAACAACGGCGGAGATCAATGACAATGCCCAGCCTTGCCCTCTGCCTCGCTGCAGTACAACACGGTGCTGGCAAACTGTATGATGTCCACATCGTTCTCATGCACCATTGCACCACTCCGCCATTTTGGCGCATCAACTGCCTTAATATATCAACTCCCGCGTGTGAGTGCGTGTGTGCGCGTGTTGTGTTTGTGCTTGTGTGTGTGTGTGCGTGTGGGTGGGTGGGTGTGTGTGTGTGTAGGGGGGCCACAGTGCCTGTATAGTCTTGGCGTGTTGAATGCTGAATGCTGTGCTTGGCATCAAGCTGTGTTGCTCATACAATTGTTGGCTTGCCATCACTTGCAAACATGCGGAATCATGCTGACGCCTTTCTGACACAATGATCCGGAAAAAATATGTCGCATGAAAGCAAGCCACCTGGATACAACAGGATCACTGGAGGACAACCACTTTCTGAGCGGCGAGCCTGTGCATATTTTGCTGAATGCGAGGTCTGCTATGGTCACTTTCGCAACAAACCATCTCGTAGAATTGCTAGCTTGTCAAAACATTAGTACGAGCTTATGCTGTATCTCCCCGAAGGAACAATGCAGAGCGGTGACACGGCGGGATGCTTTGCATGCACCATTCTTTGCAGATCTGCTAACCATCACTTGGCCCATTCGAAACAGCGCAGCTCTCAGTGCATCTTACTTCTCCCCGCCCCATTGGATAGCGATCAGGTCGCAAGCTTTGCAGCAGGCATTCTTAAAGCTGAGGCTGGCCCAGAAACAAACGGAAATGTGTGGGTTCAGCCGTCTGTCTGCCTACATATGGCTCTCTGCTCCTCAGTTTACCTACAGCAGCAACAGGCATGGCACGGATTTTTGAAAGGGCCCAGTGGTGGTCGGCAGCGGCAGGTCCTGTTTGCAGGCCTGCTTTCAAGGAGCAATTGAATTGAGTCCTCCTCCAAAGTTCCGCATGGGCCGCCGAGATAGGGCGTGCCGAATGGCCGAACGCTTCAGAACAAAACAAGTCTATATCAAAACGAGCAAAGGGGCAACGCGGAGGCATGTCCTATGCCGGCGGCCCAAGTGGAACAAAGCTCCTTCCGCTTCGCGGAAGCCCCGGCCTTGGCGGCCTGGCCGTGTGCCTTTCCCCACTGTCTGTGTTGGCTCTAGGCGATAAATAAGGAGGGAAAAAACATGAACCTTCGCCTCAAACATCGAACATTAGACCAACCTCTAGGGACTCTAGGCAGCTTCTCCTACACAAAAGGAATCTTCCCGGAGGTGAAGCAAACTCATCCCTGAAATGCGTGGCTGACATGCTGCCCCCATCGGATACAAGCACACCGTTTCCTTACATGCAAAAGACACTTTCTTCTGGAATGCTGTGCTGCAACACGGCTCAAGTGTCTTGAGCCGTGCAAAAACACATGTGTGACACATGTGCTTACTGTCACCATCTCGCAGCCCCCTCACTCTGTGTATCCTATCCGCTTTGAGCAATACAAGAAACAAGCTTTGCAGCATGCCCTAATGCCCATTGGGAAAGAAGCATGACTTGGGCGGGCAAGGTAGTGCTCTCAGGTGGACGTGCCCTGCCTCTTGTCGACTCTCCCGACGACATCATCTGCTTTCCTAGGGCGCGGTCCCAAGTGCTGCCGAGCACTCCCAATGACACCTGCGGCCTGCCTGAAACCAACCCTTGCAGGAGAAATACTTGCTGGCCAGAGTGCCAATGCAGGAAACTGCCAAAGCTACGCTTGCTGGCAAGCATCCTGGAATGAAGCTGAAACAGCAAATGACTTCTTGCTGGCCACCGGCTGCAACTCGCCTTGGCCCAGGCCCTGTAAAAATGCACAGCTTCTGTCCAACGAATGAGGCATGCTCAAAGGTCAGTCAGTGTTCATTGTGCGCGAGCTTTTTGAGTCATGCCATTTGCTAGCGGCAACTGAGCTGAGGATCCCCCAGGATATCATGTCATCGAATCATGCTGATGTTAGTGCTGATGTTTGTGATGGTGGTCGATTGTGATGATGATGATGATGATGATGATGATGATGATGATGATGATGATGATGTTTGTGATTGCCGCTGGGAGGTAGAGATTGGAAACATCAAAATAATTAATTAGTGAATATTAGCAAATGAAATAGTGAATGGGAATAGTGAATTAAAACAATTGCCAATGGAAATATGAAATAGTGAATGGGAATAGTGAATGGACATACGCCTACATGGCGAGGTGACTAGGTCCAGGTGAGTTGTGCTAAAGCTTAGGCCCTTAGGCTTAGCAAAGCAAAGCAAAACCATCTTTATATGCTAAAGTGAAGCCCTCGACTCGATTAGCCCCAAGTCTGCCCAACGCAACGCCCGCAATTTCCATACATAAGTGCCAATTCACAAATTTTCACTAGTTCCATTCACTATTTTGTTCACTACTTGTTTGCTCAAGATTGCAGTCTTTTTCAAAAGGAAAAAGCAAAAATCACTAACCTGCATTCAATTTCACTAAATTTCACTAAATTTCATAAAATGTCGCAAGCCCAAATTAGTGAAATTTAGCGAACTTTAGTGAAATTTAATGAAAGTTAGCGAAGTTTACTAAATTCAATGAAATTTTAGAAAGAGATCCACTAAATTTCACTAAATGTCATTAAATTTCACTAAAATTCATTAAATTTCGCAACCCAAATTAGTGAAATTTAGTGAAATGTGATGAAATTTAGCGAAATTTATGAAAGTCAATGAAATTTAGAAAGATAATCAAACAAAAAAAAACACTAAATTTCACTAAATTTCATCAAGTTTCATTAATTTGATTTAGCGAACATTAGTGAAATTTAGTGAATTGAAATAGTGAAAACTAATGAATTTTAGAGGTTCAATTTCCACAAATCGGCAAACTGTTACTATTCAAATTAGTGAAATCAATTAGCTAATGCTCGCCCCGCTTGTTGGGGAAGCCGCTGGCAGGCCCTCTTATCACAAATGCAAAGACCAATTGGCTCCTTTGCTCAATTCACAAACCTGGAAACCCACATTCTCAATCCACTAATTGAAGTCACAAGCTGCAAATCCATGTTTCCCAATTCACAACTTTGATTCACTAAATATTTCACTCACTATTTTGATTCACACACTATTTCACTATGTTTCACTAACTTAATTCAAAACATGTGTTTCAGTGTCTGCCTGGTCCGGCAACCTTAAATGATGTTGATGATGCTGACGGTGGTGATAGCAGTGGCGATACTGGCAGTGCTCAACATCGAAATAGCGAATAAATACACCTTTGACCTGTTTCTATTACTTTGGCATCTCAAAAGTCTGCCAGCACATGCCAGCACCATCTTCAACTTTGTGCATCCATGTGGCCTGCCAGCATCAATCCGTCCTGACTAAGCAAGAGCGCAACCCGTAAGGCGACCATTAACATGGCAAACAACAGCACATATCGCCCACCAGAATTCGAGCGCCAGATCGTGGCGATTGGATTCCGTGCGTCCTTGGCCCGGAAGGTCATCTCAGCTTTTCCGTCGCTGCCGTTTCTCAAAGCCAGGCCCTTGCAGCGGGAGAAATCCTCGGCAAGCGAGGCATTCATGCGAGGCGCCTGCACGGCCATCGCGTGTGCTGTCAGCTGAAAACGCGGCACAATGGTTTGGCCAGCATGGCAGAACATTTCCTCTTGTCAGCCGCAATCTAGCCTCTCTGGCCCAGTGCATCTCTTACCGCGTTATTTCCAAACAGCCGCGAATGAGTCAAACACTGATTCCATCTGGTTTGGCGACGCAAAGAAGCGACCAAACACCAGCCATTTACGGCGGTCCACACTCGGAATCACCAAACAGCTGAATTCCAGCCAAGGTTACAAAGGTCATGGCCTCAGGCGGCGGCAACCCCCTCCCCCCCCCCCCGCACGGGGCACAATGCTCAAAAGGCAACGAGGCACAATGCATTCGGGGTAGCAAATCTAAGCTTTCATTCTTTCATTTTCGACTCTCGGGAGTTGGGCCGAATAATCGCTCTTACTTTGACTCATGCCCACTTAAAGTCAGGAGCAGCCAACTGCATTGCTGCATGCAGTTCCAGTTGCGAGGCCTCAATGGAGGATTCTAAGCAGCTGATGCCCATGTTGTTTCCTACAACTGGGTGGGGCCCTCAAGACCTCTGACTACCTCGCTGTTTTTTTGGCTGTGAGTAGTGAAGCGGCCACATGACAAATCATGAAAGGACTTCAACTGAACAATCCCTAAGCGCAGCTTTGAGGGCTGGTTCAGCTTGCAACTTTGACAGAAACACCCTGTATATGCCTGCAGCTTAAACCAATCATTTTGGGCAGCAACTCCTGACTTGACTTAAAGAACAAAGCAAAACAGCCAAATTGCATCGCACTGATAGTGAAGCAAATTGTCCTACCCTCTCTCCATGCCGCCCAGCCTTCTTTGCGCCTACTTCCCCAAGTGCAATGCCCATACTCATTCTGTTGGTCGCAGCCGGGCGAGAGTGGCTTCATACACCGCTCCCTCAAAGTGCTGGCGTCAAGCCATGCAAACTTTCTTGTCCAGCCACAATATCTTTGTTGCCCCCTTTGCACGAAGCTGCCAGTGCATATCCTTGGCGACAGGCGACGATCACACTAAATCCATTTGCAGCTAACTTTGCATGCCATGTTCTTTCAGCTCGCCCAAACTTGGGCAAAGCCCTACTTGAGGAGCGCTCACGCTTTGGATTCATTGCTGAGTCTGGCCTTGCGGGCCGAGCCTCCGCCGTCCGGCAGCCACGTGCCCAACGTGTTGGCAGGGCCCATCTTGGCCTTGCGCGCACCTGAGAAGCTCGAAGCCGAAGGCCGCTGGCAACATGCAAAGCTAACCTAGTCCCAACCCGTGGTGCATCTGCAACGCCAACTATTGCTACCATTCTTGTTATTTCAGGCAATATTATGTTACGTACATATATGTTTATATGTGTATATATTTAAAAAAGAAAGGTGGGAAACAGCTCCAACGTATGCTCTTGACCAAGGGAGAAAGCTTCTCATTCTGGCAGATGAACCAACTCGCGGCCAAGCTGGGCTTTGGGCTCAGGTACGTCTCGCCACAAGGCTTTAGGTATTTCTGCACCTTCGTCGATCTTCAGAACTCTCCATGCGATGAGGGGGGGAGGTCGGGGTTGAAAGTTCCGACCGATCGCGCCCTCGTGCCTGAGCTGGCGCAAGACGCGAGGGCCAGGCTTTTCCGCAAGCTCTCGTCCCAGGCTATGGTGGAGGCCACCTCTGTCTGTTTCAACGCATGCCGTTCCCAGGTCGTTCCATTGGTGCCCCGAACCCGCATGCAAACCTGGTTTGGCGCTTTCCGGCCCAACTGGATTCGGGAAAACAATCCGACAACCAATCCTGAATTGACAGCTATCAAATCAACCAAGTCACTTGCAAAAAAACAAGCCATGTGATGTGTCTATGAAGGAGCCTTGTATAACTTCTTCCCTCACATGATCCTGCGTATCTTAAATCAGCTTTGTATGGATTGCCCCCCCCCAATGCAAGGCTTGATGACAACCATTATGACAGCATGCCACAAACAAAACTCGAGAAAAAAAAAAAAAAAAACATTTGACCTTACAAGTGTGGTACTGGCGCAGGCCCAATGAGTGACTGGTTGCTATGCGTCCCAGTAAATGTCCCCAGCAAGGAATCCTCTTGAAGCCTCAAGGTTTGATGTCCTTTTCCCATGCCTTTGCCTACAGGCATCCAGCAAACAAAAATTGACTTGTTTAAGCTGTAGTAGTGCAGTCAGCCACGGTGGGAAGGAAATAACTCCGTCAGAGGATGAGATTTACATGCTGTTTCCCGTGATCAAATTTCAATTGAAATGCCAAGCTCATGCCCATGTAACGCTGAAAGTAACAGCGGGTACCCGGCACTTCCAGTCCATGCAGACCTCAAGTGCATTGGAACTGCAGGTCTGGACGCGGGAGCAAGGCCCTGTGTTTTGATGATTTGTTCGTTTCAGGCCTCCGACTTTTTTTTTTTTATAATGTGGGTCGGTTTTGCAAAAGTGCACCTTCCAAGCTGTCAAAAGAGAATGACACCCAGCTTCTCGACTCCACTCTCTCAAAAAAATGAATGTAATGAACATATTTTGCGACAAGCGCGTTTGTGCTTTCTCTCTGTGCAGTTTGCTCGCCAAAATGCGTGCGACTTAGAGCCGGCATCCTTGCCCCCCTCATCCAGCTCCACCATCAGCGTGAAAGGCCGATCCTTGACCTGAAAGTGAAAGGAACTCGCAAACCTTGCAACGAAACGCTCCTTGAATTCGATTCTCCCCATCCCGCCTTGTCTGGCGAGAAAATGGCCACCCAATATTCCTTCAGTTGCGGGTTGCGTGAGTCGGTGAGCAATGCACAGGCTCCAGCCAGCTCATTCCAGCAAGCTCATTCTCACACATGCTATGCACAAGCATCGCGTCAACCAGTGCAGCTCCAAGCGTCACCGGGCGCAAGTGGCTTTTCCGGAGGAATCTCCTGCAGGTCGCAAGCTTCAAGGAATCAATTCACCTGTTCTTACATGTCCACAGCCGCTGGTCCTCCACTAACTCTCTGACAGGCCAAAGGGGACTGCGAAGAATCTCTTCCTTTGGCTGGCCATCACTGACTGGCCCATAAAGGGCAAAAGAAAACCTAGGCGCAGGCACTCAGGCACTGTAACAACAAGAAGGCAATTGACTCATGTCACACTGTGCCCCGAGAACTCTATTTTGGAGTGTCGGTCATGCCAGCTGTGCCTGCCCGTTCTCGCCATATTGCATCCATGCCGCTGTGTGTAGGGGGGAGCGCCTGTCAGAGCAAAGCTGCAAAGTTTCCAATGTGCGGCAAGTGGCATACAACAAATTCCGCATGGCCTACCACCCTGATGTCCGTCTGGAGGAGGGTAATGAAGCCCTTGGCTTCTGCGGCGACGCGGATGGACACCAAACCGCAGATGTCGCGCCCGGTGCTGCGCACGGGGATGCGGGACACCGCCCAGGTGTCGCTGTAAAAGGCCACGCTCAGAGAGGAGAAATGCTTTTGGAAGTCCTCCTGGGGTCGGGCGATTCAAGCCCTCATGAAAGAAAAGCATGCTTACATCGGCGTTTCTTTGTCAAAGGAACCTGCTTTGTGTGGGTTGTACAGGCAGCAAATGACCCTGGAGGGATCTGCCCACTATTGTTCGGCTAGGAAGCAGTAGGGAAGCTTAGGATGTGTCCTAGTTGTGCAATCCTGTAAGCACAAGCAGCTGTGGCTCTTCTGTCTACTCGCGTTGATGTGTAAGCAAGAAGGCCCTTGGTGCTTGAAACGTGTCATTGCGTAAAGGTGAATCACGTGGAAAACGCAGAACAAAAACTGACACCATTCGCTTAATACATGTCTCAAATGGAAAAGACATCTGTAGCCACGTGATTGTTCAAAATTCATGAACATTTGATATGATCCGTGCTGACATACTGCAATTTTGCAAATCGCGGCGAGGTGACACTCTGGCCCACTCGAATCCGTAGAGACAACGTTCATGACATGGACTCGATCGAATGGAAAACAGTTGAACTGTTGAGGCTACGTCTGGGTTGGTTGATGATGGTACCATGGTGCCGAGATCAATACTCTGATCTATGACATTGCCTGGGGAAGCAACGTTGCGCTCTTGGTGGCTGAAAATATCGCACTTGTTGCAGGGGCGACTGGCATTCTGACCGTTGGCTGTAGTCAGTCCATTCCTGGTCGCCCTGCTGAAGTCCTTTGGCCCTGTCGCTTTGGCGTGCTGGGCTGGGTGTGATCACAACCACATGTCCTTTTCAATTGCATCTCATTGTTGATGTGTTTGAAGCGATCTGTGGGTGAGACTTTGTCTCCTGGTATGCGTAGTTGCCGGCGTTGAGCACTTTGTCAAACTACCTACCCTTCTTCCATGCGCTCATGCATCTTGCGCCGTGTCTGAAATCGCCCCAGTGTCCTTTTCCCAATGAAAGGACGTAGGTCACCATGCAGTCTGGGAAAGTACCGTCGTGACAGAATCCTTTCTTTGTGTAGAAGAGGCGCCGCGCGATGTCCTTGAGTGTGGCCGCGGTGTCTGCGCCAATCTCGGGCCGTTCGTGGCCCTTTGTTTCTTTAAAACTGATTGTTGAAGCTTGTTCTCACCTCGTTGAGCAACAGGGCGGTGTGGGATGGTGCAGTTCCTGTTTGTTGGCACTTAGCCTCTCTTGCCATGCCGCTGTTGCGGCGAGAGATGGATGGATATCTTGTGATGTCGGATCCTGGTTCTTGAACTCTTCTCCGGGAGCTCTGGGAGGAACCAAAATGGTGACAATATCTTGCTTGGAATGTGTCTTTCGTTTTTGGCGGGGATCTTTCTTACAATATTTTGCGCTCATGAAGTTTCATGCCCGTGCCAAACAATCATGTGTCGGTCGCGTATAATTTGGATCATTCGCCCGCTTCAAAACTCCCATTGTGATGGCCCAGAAGCTGCAACAATTTCGATGTACCACGTGCTGTGAAGAGTCACCAAGAACGACATTTCGATATCACCAGGCAGGATTTCGTGGAAGTGGTAAGGCAGGGCAACGCCAGAGCGACCGGATGCTTTGTGAAGGGCAGCAGCTCCAGCAGAGCCGAATTATTGACGCGCCGCAGCGCGTTCTTGGTGACCCTTCTTCATAATATGTCCATCAAGGCAGCGCAGCAGCTGCAAGACTTCTTCTGTGTCAGGGTGAAGATTGGCGAAAAAATGCCCACGGCTTTCTCGCAGAGGTCGCGCCCTTGTTGGGGCAAAGTTCTGTGCGCAGAGTCCGCGCATGAGGAAGGACAGCATCTCGCAGTGCGCATGTGACGGTTTCCTCTGCCTTTCTTGGTACCGCATTCTCTGCCGTAATTGCGCGCAATTGCCTTTTGGGCGTCCGCTGTTTTCTTTGGACCCACCTACACTTCTGTCGGGTCGGCATGTCATGGGAACCGGGGGCCTATTGCTTGCCGCGATGATTCGAAGTGGCTAGTACTGTCTATGCAAGGCAATGTGACCGGTCATAAGTGAACGCCGCTTGCGCTTTGTGGGGAGCACGGCAGGGTTGATAGCCACCGTCCATTGCCAGGTGTGCGCACCAGTGCGCCAACCGAATCGGGCAAGACGACTCCGCAGGCGAAGGTGACTTCGTTTTGGTTTCCTTGAAAACCGCAAACAAACACACCCAAATCACTATTCGTTAAACACCTCCCTTTGGTTCCAGCCTCGCACATCCAGAACTCGCCGTCGTGCTCATTGAAACTGGGCTTGAAGGCTTGCCGCATCTTTGGAGTCCACAATGGGCCTGGGATTTTCATGGTTGGGGGAATCACCCTTTCTGTGACTGTATGCAACAGTAAGTCATCCCCAAGACTGGTTTGTCACGTAGGGGGTTCCCGTGGTATCGCAGAGATCGGTCCTAAACCCCTTTAAACCATGTCTTGCACAACCATGGGGGGTTGGGAGGTGTAGGCGCTCAAGGCACTACGACACTGGGCTCTCTCTCTCTCTCTCTCTCTCTCTCTCTCTGCCACTCCAGTCATATAGTAAGCAGGTGCAAAACAGCGTAATGCTTAATGCAAAGCCACTGACCCTCACCCCACAATTCAATTTTGAGCGGTGGGCTTGATGCATGATGACCGCGTGCCACTCACTGCTATGAGTTCGTAAAAGGCCTAATTCCGCACACAGGCAATCGATGGCGCTATCCATGCCCAAGCACCTGCCCCAGCAGGCAGCCAATTCCAAGAACAACATGTCCAAGCAAGTTCAGACACTCAGTTGCATGGTTTGCAGCCTTCGGCCGCCTTCGGCCAGGGGGCTCTTATCGCTCCAGTCGCCCGTCCACTCGTGGTCCCCCCAAACATTCCGCAGCTGCAGCAGGCGCTGGCCGCAGGCCTCTTGCACTGAGAGCAGGGTGTAGGCGTGGCCAGGCACCAGACCTGAGAGCTGGTCATGCTGGTCCGAGCCGGAGCGGTCCCCCTTGGTGAGGGTATCCACTCCCGGAGTGCCAGCCACCATCAAGTACCGCCTCCGGTCGTATCTCCGCCTGAAGCAAGGCTCCAGCCAAAAACGCACGGGCAAAAAAAAACATCCGATGGGACACACGCACACAGACAAAACCAGCAAAAACAGAGAGCACCTGAAAAGCAAGATCAACACAAACAATGAGGATATTTGACTCTGCAGCACAAGGTGCAACATCTCGAAAAACTTGTTCTCCGCAATCAGCCCACCGGGCTGCTGCTCGTGCTTGATGGAATACCTGAGCTTCACAGTGCCGCATCCCCATGCAAGCCGATGGCAAATTGGCCAAGTTGCTCTTTGCCAGCAGTGCCGAGAAGGTCCATCAAGGCACGATACCTTGCTCAAAAAGCGAAAAGTCTAAAGGGCATACATTTTGGCCACACACAACCACACATCACAGTCTTCCAATTCTTGGGTTGAAGGCCCCAGCTGCCCATAGATTTCAAGTGCTCTTGTTTGCGCTTGAAAGCAAGAAGCGTGCCCTACTGTGCGAAATCGTCCATGTTACTCTACACATGTTTTCCCAGTTTGCCCGAACATGTCAAAATCAGGGACCTTGTTTGCACCCGCCACATGTCGACAGGCTGGCGCTCCCTCCAAGTGCTTGGGTCGCCTTTCTACTGCCCAGGTGGTTTCTCCACCTCCTGAACAATAACACGGTTCTGAAGGTAACCCCTAACCTACGCCCCTGCAGATTGACATGGAACCTAGAAGGAGGATCCCCAACGAGGAGATTCGTCTACACCTGAGCGGTTGCTGGACTCCATGTTCAACTGCAAGGGGATTGCTTTCCTTCCACCCAACGAAAAGCCGGGGCCCAACCACTGACCAAAGAGTTTCTCCAATACAGCGAGCTCCGCCGCTGCCTTCCCATCGGCATCTACGGTTGGGCCAAATGTGTGTGCAACCATGCGAGGAAATGGGAAGCGAGTGGCGGTTGTTGAAACAAACATTGCTTTATTTCAACCTCAAGCAGGTCTGCACCCTGCTGACAACCGAGGCTCGGTGCGCCGCCCTCCAGTTGCTGGTAGGAGCCGTGCAGCTTTGCCCAGGCCTTCTCCAAAATGAGGACCCAAAGCTCGTTGGCGCCGCGGTCTGAGGGCCGCAAAGCCCGTGTTGGGCTCGTTCAAATTTCAAGCCGACGTGATCGCTTGGAGGGGCTTCAATGATTGGGGGCCCTGACTCCGGCATTGCCGGCTGCGCAAGCAAAGCTAGTTAAGCTCCGTGAAAAAAAAACAAATCCAGCGGGCACGTGCTGCTGGAAGATGTTGGAACCTTATTTCCAACTGTGTTGCGTTGCGAGATCATGAAAGAAGCGAACCCCAACCGCCCAAGGCCTGTTATACAAGAACAGAATGCAGCCTTGCTGTAAACCGATGCTTGAGTGGATTGCCCTGGCCTTGCGCATTTGCGTGTGCATAGCACGGCTTCCCAGTGTTCGGCGAGCATGGAAAGAAGTCGTCCACAATGATGGTGGTCGGCTGGCCATTTTTGAAGCAGCTGACTTCGTAAACCCCCCACTGGTTGTGCTGGGCCTTATTCTTTGCCAGGAGTCCCTGGATAAGCCTGGGCTGCTCTGCCATTGCAGCAAGGGCAGCCAGAAACCAGCAGTCACCCAAGCAGCCCTGGTTGATGTCCGATGGCTGCACATCATCGGAGAAGATTTGTACTGGACCACTGCAAAACTCACTGGGGCGCTTCCACACCACCACCGGGTTGTCTGCCTTCGATGGGTCCTTGAAGAGGGACGCATCAGTCGGCATAAACTCCACGTCTACGAACCTCAGGCGCACAAGCGGGTCTTTGGCGGTGGTTGTCCTGCTTGCAGCAGAGCGTCCTGTTGATGCAACTCTTCGCGCAAGCCTCCTGAGCGACATCCAAACAGAATCAGCTGGATGCAGTGCTCCTAGCCCTCATACTGTCCTGGCCCTAGACACTGAATGGAGAGCAGCAATGCAGGGTAGCAGCCCCAAATGGCTCGCATCCGGCCTTGAACTGCCAACTAGGTCAACATGACCAGGACCTCCAACATCCCCACCAATTGAACAAAGCAAAAGGTGGTGCCTTGACCACGCAAGATTTCCCGAGTCTTGTCGCCACAAAACGAAGATCTTTCTTGACTTCCCTCAGCTGCGCCCATCGAGTCCTCCACTAGCACGGCAGAGCCCAGCTTCGCTGTGATGCCCGCAGCCTTCAGCTTTGCAGCCAGATCAGCTCGCCTGAGGTTGGCTTCCCAGGCTGAAGAAACTCTGCAGCGGACACGGTGAAAATGCGAGGAGAGGGAGCTGCCCGGAGGCACAATCCACGTGGGCTGCGAGGTGCGCTGTGCTATCAGCCAGAAGTATAGCCTTCTAGGTTGAGAACATATGGATGTTTCATGAGAAAATTATGTGCATCCTTGCAAGCGGCTTAGTATCGAGCCGCCTGATGTATACCACACAAGTACCACCTAAGGGGCCCAAATGGTTAAGGATAAACGGCATATCGACAGTTGGACCTGACATGGCCACATCACAAGAATGCAATCTCTTGTGAGCTCCTCGCGATTCACATGGGAGAAGTCAAACTAGAGCGTTTGAAACACGACCTCGTCACAACAAGGTCAAGCAGCACTCAGGACCACTTGGGGTGCTGATTAATTAGCACCTGCACCCCCCGGCAGAATCTGCCGATCTGAGCTGTTTGTTCCAAAAAACAACCTGGAAGGCAGAAAGCTGTGCCAGTGAGGAGTCATCTTCACGCAACGCATCCAGAACCACACTACAAACCAGCCGCGCGATTATAAAAGCACATGATCGCGCTGTGTGATCCAAAAAGAACAGAAAAGCAGAAAGCTGTGCAGTGCACAGTCAACATGACTACAACCGCAAAACTCATCCAGCCCGTGACGTCGCACGACGTCGCGGACGCACAAGCACAGACAAAAATACGCCCACATGACTGCACAACCACAAGCACGCGACTACGCAACCTCATGACCATACAACTGCAACTAGACATCTACACCCCCAACCAGGCGACCACAGAACCTGCATCGTGGCAATGTGTCTCATCTTTGCGATTGGAAATGCTGTGTTTTCTCCTCGGTTTGCAAGGGCCGCGCAACCACACAAGCGCGCAAACGCACAGCTCTGAAAGACCACATTCATGAAATATGAAAAACAAGAAGAGGAAGAAAAAAAAACGAACGCACAAACGAACGAACAAACAAACAAACAAACGAACAAACGAACAAACGAACAAACCAACAACCCAACAAACCAACAAACAAACAAACCAACAAACAAACAAACAAACAAACAAACAAACAACCCAACAAACACACAAACACACACTCACACACACAAACAAATACAAACAAACACCAACAAACACAAACACACACACACACAAACAAATACAAACAAACACCAACAAACACAAACACACACACAAACAAACAAACACAAACACAAACACACACACACAAACAATCAATCAATCAATCAATCAATCAATCAATCAATCAATCAATCAATCAATCAAACAAACAAACAAACAAACAAACAAACAAACAAACAAACAAACAAACAAACAACACACAAACAAACAAACAAACAAACAAACAAAAAACACACACATGCGCACACGCACACACACGCAAACACACACACACACCCAAACAAACAAACAAACACACATGCGCACACACACACACACGCAAACACACACACACACACACACACACCCAAACAAGCAAACAAGCACACAAACAAACAAAACAAACAAACAAACAAACAAACAAACAAACAAACAAACAGACACACAAACACACACAAAAAAAAAACAATCATACACTTACACACACATACACTTACACATGCACACACTTGCAAACACACACACACACACACAGACTTGCACACTTGCACACTTGCACACTTGCACACTTGCACACTTGCACACTTGCACACTTGCACACTGACCCAATTGCACACTTACACACTTACAACTTACGCACTTCCACACACACACACACACAGCCAACAAACAATATACACATTCGCATACCTAAGCCTTGCCAAATAGACTGGATTCTTATCGCTCACTCGCACATCAAACCATGGTCGGATCCGGACTGTCAGCCGCTAACGTATTTGGGCCTTGGTCCAAACTAGTTCTGTGCCTGTCCCAAGGTGGTCTAAACTTAAGTACCTACTGAACGGTCCATG